ATACGCCTTGCCGCGATCGTCCAGAAAGTTTGGATCACCATCGTACACGTTCAAGAGGTCAAAGAAGTGGTGCCCCATATCCGGTTTTGCCGTCTCTTGTGTCAACAAGGCCTTGCGTGCCATCTGGTCGGGGTCTCTCTTCGAGTTAGCATCGCTGGGGCTCCTGAACTGAGCAGTACAAATCGTCACGTAGCCCCTTTTGGCCGCTTCCGCTCTGAAGTGGTTGAGAATGCCAAAGTTCGCATTGTGCTGTTTATTCACGTCGCCGATGCGGAAGTTGAACAGGACGACGCCCCTGAACTCTGGGTTTCCCTCTTGGCCGCGGACGATGGAGCGCACCTGTTCAATCTTCTGGCAGAGAGCATTGAATTTGGCTTGCGCGTTGACGACAGTGGCACATTCGGGTGTCAGAGACCGGCCTCCACTCATTCGGTAGCCGAGGATCCTGTAGCTTTCTGGTTGTCCTAGGAAGTGCATGAGTTGGACGGCGATGCTGGTCGAGCAATGAAGACTGATAATGCGCGGATCGTGGTACGGTCCTGACAAAAGAGGCTGGGATGACGAAGAGCTGGAACTCGAAGAACTCGAAGAACTCGAAGGACTCAAAGTAGAAGTGTCCGTGGACTTCTGAGACAAAAAAGCGGCTTGTTGATCTTTGATGATCTCGTCAAAGCTGGGCTTGGCTCCTGTGTTCTGCTTGGCGTACTCGACGTCGACATCGGAACCCGCAAGCTCGGCATGGACTGATATAACGAGGTCGCGGCTGTTGACCTGTTTGACACGCATTTTCTTGCTCTCGGCATCGTTAAAGTCAGGAACAACAACCAGGGCTGTTGGCAAGCCGAGATTGGTATAGTATTCCCAAGTCGTCCGACCGTTTTTGCCCGAGTTGTTGGGTTCTGCAGAAGAAGAGGAGGACGAATTTGACTCGACCGAACTTGGTACTACTTTCTTCTTGACCACCCGCCGTCTGTCTGGGGTGTCCGTTGGGAATTCGTCCTTGGGTGGTGTCGACTTTTTCTCGTCTTCCTCTTTCTTTGAGGCTTTTTGTTTCTTGTCTTGTTCCAACGCGTCCATGCTTCGCTTGGTAATCTTTCCATAGCCGTTAACGGTCACGCATGCCCTGATGGAGTAATTGGGAAACGGGTCGAGGATGTCATGTTGGGTGGTGCTGGTGTACTCAGCCAGGATTTGAGCGGCCGCAACGTGCCATTTGTCACCGGTCAAATTACCGTAGTGGGTGATGTATGCGTTTGGAATCTTACGTGACTGATTTCGGAGAACAATGCCGTCCAAATGTTGGTCGGTGCTAAAGTCATACAGTACAAAGGGTTTTGACGAAGATGAGGAGGAAGAGTCTGGCGATGGACTTGATGAGGAACTGGATGAGGACGAGGACGATGGCACTGGCACTGGCCGAAAAGGGATTGGTCTGTTGTTGGAAGCCATTTTCAACCATGACGCGACTTGGAGCGCTGTTTGTCTCCCACCACAGACCGAGGGTCCAAGGATTTCCCGGTTTTATCATCGTCCGTCTTTCCAAAGCCCCGAGCTCGTTTCCATGTTTTCTTAAACACAGAAGGTGAGAACCTCTCGGCGCGATCCTCGCTTCAAACAGCAATGCGCCTCTTCTGCATCCGCCCCGCCGGCTTCTTCGCGCGTCCCTTCAGCCGTCGGAGCTATACGGAGTGCTCGGCCGCATACAGCTCTAGGTCATACCAATCCAGCCACCCGAGTCCAATAGATTGTTCCGATGCCGGAATATCACAGAGCCTAGATCCCGATATCACCGCGCTACTCGGAATAGCTTCCTCATGTGCGGCGCGTGCAAGCCACATGTCGCTCGATCCACACGAACTCGCTGGTCAATATCCGGCATCGTTTCGTCGTCTGCAACGTCGCAATTTGCGAAGATTGGGAATTCTAAGGGCTGACACTGTTCGCCGACAATTATTCAAAATACGGAATGGTTCCCCTGACGGCGCGATGGATTCAGCCAGCCATGAGCATATCAGAGCTCATGTGGTTGCGAAGGGCCATTACGATGGCCGCTTGCGACAAGGGACGAGAGAGCGCGAACCCCCATGGCCTCTTAACGGCCAACTCTCCCTCCGTTTGAGAACTACCGACCTTTCCAACTAAACAACGCCTCGCTACGCTGTAAGAGCACTAACCGTCGGATACAAGACAACTCTCAAACAGTCATCATGGCTGCCGAAGTCAAAGCAACGGCTCGCGACATGGAGCAGGAAGCCATCAAGCAGATTGCCAACGTCAGCACCCTGCTCCGAAAGGCCATCCAAGCATCCATCCCAGCGGCGCCGGAGCAATACCTCACAATCGCCATTCCCGGGACCACGATTGATGTTCGCGACATCAAGGAGGGTGGCACATTTGTCTACGGCGAGGAATATTCGGCCTTTCCGCCCACCTCGATTCGCCAGGCCGAGTCTCGACTTGTGGACAACATGTGTCCGCTCTCCTACATCATGGTCGGCAATACTGGCAAGAGTGTCTCCAGGAGCTATTCGCGCGCCCTGGATGGCTTGGTGCCGCGGCAGGCCACGGTCACCTCCGGTGGCGTGAACCCAATTCGCAGTCCGGGAGAGAAGGGGTACGACGATGCCATGGAGTATCTGACAACCCGCGACGAGAAAACCGGCCTCACGCCGGTTGACGTTTACGTTGAGAAGCAGTCACTTTGGACCGAGGCGCAGGAGGCCTGGGACAAAGCAAAACTGAGGGCCAAAAAAGAGGCCATCAACGCCTTCCCGAACGATATTGTTGCCCAACGCCAGAGCTATGACGATTGGAACCAAGCCAACTACCGCAAGGTGGGTCATCCTTCCCATAAGGCCCCCATCGCTTGACATTGCTGACTGATTTTTGTTGTACAGTACAAGTTTGCTGTCCAGGGCCGCTGGATTGATTGGGTCGCGAACGGTCACAAATACGATGTCGAGTTCAACTTTGGCATGGTTGACACCGATTCGATCATGGCAAGGGTGGAGAACAGCAAGGAATCGATGCGCAACTCGACCATTGTCGATGCCGACGGCGCCAACGAAGTCCTCCTTGTCAACATGACACCCAAGCACTGGGCCACGCTCTGCAAGCAGAAGCAGGAGGGTTGGTTCCGCCGCAACGGCAGCTACTCTCTCGAGCAGCTGGACGGCGAGATACGCCGTCTGACTCGTTTACTTTCCTCATATGAAACTCTCCAGACGGTCACGACGCCCAGGGAACACCCTGCCACGACCAACTCGAAGCTTCCGTCGCTCCGTTCCGACTTCCCCCTCGCCGACCCGGCCGACGTCAAGCCCGACATTGATCTCGACACAGCCGAGAAGAATTTGCACGCGGCCTTTGAGAATCTGTACATCGCTGAAGCAAATGTCAACAGTCTAAATGCTCAGATCGCAAAGCTTCCACAGAAGGACCAGGACGCCAAGAAGGCGGAAACAAAGTACACAACCGCCCTGACCGCGCTTGACGCTCAGCGCAAGAACCTCCAGGACGCCATTGCCAAGAACAAGCACGTCCATGCCGCGTGGGCCAAGTACGAGAATGCCTCTCTGACGGGTGACGCCAAAGCCTCCCTCGACAAGTGGCTCGCCGGGACCATCAGGACCATCAAAGAACAAATCGAAGGGTTGCAGCAGAAGCGCGCCGAAAAGACGGTTGGACAACCCGTCAAGTTGGCGCCGATCCTTGCGGCCGGTGTTGAGAATGGCAAATCGGGCACCACAGTCGCGACCGAGGGTTCCGAGCTTGCGGACCCCCTATTTGAGGTACCTGCACCGGCCACAGCAGCTGGGACGACCACCAACGGCACCAACGGCACCGGCGACACATCTAACAAGAAGCCCGCGGCCGGCACCGAGTCGGATCCCTGGACCACCATCTCCGTCTCATTCAGCGCCGAGGACCAACGCTCCTCCGCAGCCACGAGCAGTTGGGGTATGTCGGTCGGCGGCGGCGGCGGTTGGGGCTTATGGTCAGCTGGCGGCAGTTATGCGCACGAGGAGTCCAAGAGCGACAGCCAGGCCGACATGGCGTCATGCGATGTCTCGGTCACTTTCGACGCGCTGGTGGTGAACATCGGTCGACCGTGGCTGTACGCCGAGCTGTTTAACGACTTTGAGCTCGATGTCGCCAAGGATATCCGATTGAGTCCTGGGGCCAAAGACCTCCACGCCTTGATGAAGGCACAGGTTGCCAAGTCAGATTCACCTCACGATGTTGCCGAGGCGGCGGGTGTGGTGGATAAGTTGGCACAGTACAATTCCTTCCCGGCTTTCCCAACCAGTTTTATTGTCGCTGCAAACACGGTTGTTGATGTGAGTTGTGTTCTTTTTGCGTTTGTCATTAGAGTAAACAAAAGAAGCTGACATTTTTGGTCCTTTGGAATGGCAGTTCAAGGGAGATACGCGACACGTCGAAGACCACTTTAGCTCGTCTTCCAGTTCCGGCTCTGCGTCTGTCGGTTGGGGTCCGTGGAGCGTGTCGAGCAGCTTCCACAAATCTTCTTCACAGCAGATGCATCAGATGCAAGCCACGGCAACTGGCTGTCGGCTGACGTTTGGTGCACCGCAGATTATCGGCTGGGTCAACCAGATTTTGCCGGCTCTCCCGAGGAAGTTGGAGTTTGAACCCATGGTTCAAAACAACGTCCCCGAGAGGACGAGTCTGAGGGGCAACTGAACAGGGGCCGATTTGTTGTTGTCTTTTTTTTCTCCTATCGAATTTGCATCTGTTGCATGATCAATGAACACTCAGCGCGCCACGCGTTCTCTGCACCTCCACAGATCCCGCGACTTGGTGAAACGCTTAAAGTCTCCACTGAATCAAATCTGCTGCCTAAAGTCAAATTCTGAACCAAATAAATCATCTTGATGGCTCAAATCTATGGCCACAACTCTCTCCACCGTCCACAAATCCCGCTGTCATCAAGGGTAATCACGGACCAGCATATTATACAAGCTTCACTACAGCAAAAAGTCACTTTGGCCGAGTGGTTAAGGCGCGGGCCTGCTATTGAACGCATCACGTGATTCAGCAGCAAGGGTAGCTCGTCTCTTCGGAGGCGCAGGTTCGAATCCTGCAGGTGACGATATTTCTTTTTTTGGCAACTCCTGTGCAACTGCTCATATGGGCTGCAGCTGTCATGTTTGTCTTTGGTAATTTTTTTTTTAGGGAGGGGTCTGGACGATGGGAAGCTGGGAAGCTTGACTTGACTTGCGACCAAAATTTTGCAGGGTGTGTGCCCGTGGTGCGATTTCGCTAATTATGGAAGTTATGAAGTTACGCGCCTCGTAGTCCATGCATGTAAACAAGTAGGAAAGGGGACTGGCTGCGATTGTGGCAAAGTGATTTCATTTTTTTTTTTTGGAATTTTTTTTTTTGGCTTTGTCTTGCGTGAGACATTTTAATTTTTGTTTCTTTGAAATCGTGGGATTGGCTGAGATCGTTCTTGGATTGAGCAATTTCTTTCACTGTTTGGTTTTGAGTGTTGCTTCAAACTGGTCCTCTATTTTCCCCTGTTGTTTTCCTGCTGTTTTTGGGCTTTAGGCGGGCACCTAGGTACGAGATTCTCGGGACGCTTCGTAATTCAGGACAGTGGACAACGACCCTTCCGAGCCCGACCTTTGGATTGGCTTTCTTGGTAGCGAGATCGATTCCTTTGGAGAAACTTGGGCGATCATGGCGAAGGCAGATAGTTATAAAGGAACATGAAACCTGATGACTTGAAAGCTAAAAGAAGATTCGGGAGATCTACATTGCCTTGACTGCGCGTATTGCATATTTTGTTTCCAGAAATCTTCTTGTACATATAATCGGAAGATCGATTTTGCAAAGATATTTACCACAAAGGGGGATTCCACTGCTTTATTTGCAATTGATGAATATTGAAAGGAACACATTTTGTTCAGTTTATGTTTAGGTACCGTGGATGTCTCGCGGATGACCTGAGCCAAAGTCTTGCTGATGCTCCGTCTTCTGCCAGAGAGTCGTGCTTGCCGCGATTAAGTTTCCACACGTACCAGATACTCTCCAAACTTGAAATCAATGACAGTAACTAGAAGTGAGTGCTTTGATTAGACTTGGTTCTGGCGTAAGACGTGGCACGAGACTGGGAATGACTGATCGTGTCGAAAGTTCTGGTTCGGGTTCTCAACTATATCAGCTTGATTTCCCCCCTGGTAGGCAGTGGTGGTCTCTTGCCCCAGTTTCTTGGTAGAGCTCTACGGCAGTAGAAAATACTTGGAACTCGAGGATGTCGAAAAACCAACTGATGCACCTCAACCGCCTCCCCGACGAACATGGAAAACAGATCTGTGCCCCCGCCAAGCCAGGGCATGATTCGGAGTGGGACGATCAACAACCACAACCACAACCACCCCGCAGATTTGATGTCGCTACGATGTACTGCAGATTTGTGATGCAGCCCCATCTCCCGGAGAGGGGAAGGGCAGGGTTGTGATATGGGCTTTTTTCCTTTGTCCTCTCCTCCGCTCGTCTTCAAGGCCCGTGGGAAAGACAAGACAATCTATTTTTGGCGTTTCCACGGGACTGTAGGTCACAACAGTCTCATTCTTTGTGTTCCTTTTTGTCTCTCCCTGCTTGCCGTCAGGCCCGAGGAAGACAAGAGCTACGGCTTTTTTTTTTTTTTTTTTGTCTTTTTGTCCGTGTCTCGTCTGAGTACACACCGTTTTTGCTTTTCTTTTCTTTTTTCTTTCTTTTTAGTAACGTTGAAATTAATTCTTACAAGCGATTTAATTGCTTTGCGTTGTTCTTCTCGTTTACTTGATATGAGCCCATTGATGATGTATGACATGTGATGTGTGATGTGTGATGTGACCATAATGATTGTGATGATGATGTATGAGAGGATTCGTCCAATGCCCGCCCCCCTTGGCTGTTTTCTTTTTAGCGTGGTTCCCCAGATCTAACTCCAAGCATCTCCCGTCTCTGGTCGTTCTTCCAGGTTCCAAAGCGCCAATTTATCACCAGGCCTCAACCCACTGTGGCTCTTGTCTGCAGCGGTCAATTACAGGGAGACCCTGAGTCAAGATCGAATCTTTTGAGGTGAGTTTTCCCACTAAAATGGCCAATTATTCTTTTTGGAAGGCCTAGTTACTTTCCAGAACGCTTGCTTACTTTTTGCAACACATCATTTACCCAAACGGTCATTCACCAAATTCGATGACTCCAAGGCTGTGCCTTTTCCTCTGAAGGTGTCATTTCCATATTCTCTGAGACTGCTATAAGCGCTGATCAGCAATTGGTGGAGAAACGCCGCCCTCCCCTCCCCTCCCTCAACAACAATGCAACCCATAAATGCCTTCAGATCTGAATCAGGTTGGTCAGGCTTCAACACTGAAAAGTTGGGCAGCGCTTAAAGAAGCTTGAACAAGAACAGACAGAACTCGCCAAGTCACCGAGGTTCCCGGCGAACCGGGAGATCGAAGATCATATAGCGTCACGAGTGTGTGGTCGATCTCGACGGAAAAGACCCCGTAACAGGAATCATGGAAGACCCGGTACCGAACAGTTTCCACAAGCCCACATTCGACCAAAATCCTCCAATCTCATTTGTTGATGCGCCAAGCCTTGCAGTGTTTCGTGCTGTTGTCGTTGCGGTGTTGCGGCTCCGGAATGTCTCAAAACGGAAAGAGGATTTATCGGGAGACGAAGCCGAGCGCATGTAACTCTACCATGCCGGGGTGCACAGAATCTTATTCGGCATTTCGAAGCAAGGAGAAAATTCGAAAAACCGGGTTTCGCATGCCATCCTGCATCCCCTTCGTCATTTGACTTCATTTATTCGACGGCATTGGGCTGGTTGACCGCTTCGCTTCCAAGACTTTGGGGAGTCGACGAAGCCTCGGACAACCCCACAGCGGGAGGGTGTTGGCATCGGTTGACTTTCCATTGTCCCGGTCGATGGTACGCCGTCTCAAGAAGACTCCTTCACCACCATCATAGCCAGTCATGGGAATGGGGGGAAGAAATGGGTTGGGGGAAAATGTAACTGTTCCTTAGCGCTTGAGACTGAGCATCTAGATCGGAGATCAACAGGGCGGTGGACGTAAAGAGTATAAAGATCTCCATGATCGTCCCCCTTTCTCTACACTGGATTTGGTTCAGCATCTGATCTTGTATCTTTTCTCATCAGACCGCCAAAATGAAGTTCTCCAGCTCTCTCGCCCTCCTCGCCGTTGCTGGCGCCCAGGCCCACTGTCAGTGCTTCCTTTTTTGTCTGTACATAAAATATCTCTAACCTCTTCTCAGATACCTTCACCAAGACCAAGGTCGGCGGTGTCACCTCGGCCGAGTGGGAGACCATACGCATCACCGAGAACCACTACTCCCACGGACCCGTCACCGACGTCAGCTCTGCCGCCATGACTTGCTACCAGCGTGACGTCGGCACCGGCGCCGCCAAGACTGTCTCCGTCCAGGCGGGCGGGACCGTCGGCTTCACCGTTGACACCTCCATCGGCCACCCCGGCCCCCTCCACTTTTACCTCGCCAAGGTTCCCGCAGGCAAGACTGCCGCCAACTTCGACGGCAAGGGAGCCGTCTGGTTCAAGATCTACCAGGATGGCCCTTCCGGCCTCGGAACTGGTTCCCTCAAGTGGCCCAGCGATGGCAAGACCGAAGTCTCGGTCCAGATCCCCAGCTGCATCCAGAACGGCGAGTACCTCCTCCGCGTGGAGCACATCGCTCTCCACAGCGCCGGAAGCGTCGGCGGTGCCCAGCTCTACCTCTCCTGCGCCCAGATCTCCGTCACCGGCGGCACCGGCACCCTCAACACCGGCTCGCTCGTCAGCTTCCCTGGCGCTTACAAGGCCACCGACCCCGGTATCCTCTTCCAGCTTTACTGGCCTATTCCTACTAGCTACATCAACCCCGGCCCTGCTCCGGTTAAGTGCTAGATGGGACAGATCCGAGGAAGGTGAAAAAAGGGGAGGGAAAGTTGGAATTATTCTGCTGTACATATCTTTGGCCCGATAGATGGCCGCGCACATATATATCCCTTTTGTTCTGAAGTAATCAAGATCAAACTTCTCTAGAAGGCTTGTTCAGTTTCGGGAAGGTCTATTCATATGTTCTCAGAAAAAGCCTATTAAATTCCAGCAGGGCATATTCTTACATTGAGGTTACTAATTAACAAACCTTCAAGATGGGAACTGTATGTATAATCCGTACATTACTCGATTGAGCAAAAACCGAAACAAGCTAAGCTAAGCCAATGGTTGCCTAAAAGGATATCACGTGTTATCGCGTTCCCCCTCACTCACCCTTGGCGTCGACACGTCTTGTTTTTTTCTTTTCCCCTTGACATACCGTCATCAATTCCCTCAGAAATCACCAATTCACTCCAAAAAAAAAATGGCAAACTGCGCCCCTAAAATTGCTCCTCCCGAGCGCATCGAACCCGACCATGTCCTCGACCACAAAGCCAAGCTCCTGGCCGACAAGATTCGGGGTATGACGCTCAACCCGTTCATTTCCCGCGTTTCCCTCTCTTCACAAATGCTGACCAGACTGCTTGACGACCAGCCGCCAAACACTTCATAGTATTTACCGGCGCCGGAATCTCAACCTCGGCGGGAATCCCCGACTTCCGCGGCCCGGAGGGAGTCTGGACCCTCCGCAAACAAGGCCGTCAGCACGAAGCGAAATCCAAAGCCGTCGAAACAGTGAAGGCCATGCCGACTCCCACTCACATGGCTCTCGTTGAGTTGCAAAACCGTGGCATCCTGAAGTATCTAATCAGTCAAAACTGCGACGGCCTCCACCGAAAATCCGGAATCTCACCCGTTCGTCTCAACCCTTTACTCCTGATTTTGAATCATGTTAACAAAGTGTAAAATACCAGGAAATGATATCCGAGCTCCACGGCAACTCAAACAGGGAACACTGCCGCGACTGCTCCAAAGAATACCTCCGAGACTTCCGCGCCGTGGCGCCCTACACCAAGACGGTCAAAGACCACCGCACGGGGCGGAAGTGCGCCGACTGCGGCGGCGTCTTGCTCGACAGCATCATAAACTTTGGGGAGTTCCTCTGGCCCGAGGTGCTCGAATCCGCGCGCAAGCATTC